TTCAACCGCTTACTCAGCTACTCGTTCGTAGTCGTTCGTAGTGAAAAATAAATTTCACTGAAATTTGTTCATATAGGCCTGAAAAACTAAAAGTTAACKATAGCTAACTTGTTTATATTTTGCATTACGACTGCATATATATATCAATAACTAAGTGGGGGCGAGATCACTTATATATGGGGGCGAGATCATGGGGCGACATCACTTCGGGGCGACATCACTGGATACCATGGTAGTACACGTTTTATGGTTGCTGTCGAGAAACGAGATGAGGCAACTTTGTTACCTGTGATCCAGAGATGGATTGAACCTGGGACACATAATTTCAGATTGCTGGAAGGCGTACATTAATTTGGAGAAGCACAGTTACACACATAGTACTGTGAACCATTCAAAAGAATTTGTGAATGAGGCAGGAGAGCATACGAACACAATTGAGGGACATTGGCATCAAGCAAAAGTAAAACTTCCATGTTTTGGTGTTAAAAAGGAACTATTTTCTTCCCATCTTGCCGAGTTTATGTGATGATATATGAACAAAGAAAGTGACTTATTTATGTGTATTTTAAACGATGTAAAGAAGCTATACTGTTGTAAATGATGATAATTTATACCTATACTTATGAACTTATTTTCATAATTATTCGAAATCGGAGCATACTTAATTAGCTGTACTAAGTTCATGCTTTTGTTTGTTGAAGTTATGACGGCAACGCAAACCGTTAAAAAAATGAAGAAGTTTGTAATAAATAAGTCATTCATTTATTATATTTATTTATTTTTAATTACAATTGAAGTAAAATAATAAAGACAATAATAAAATTAAGAGTATTAAGAGTAATTAAGAGTATTTTTTCAAATAAAAGAATTTTTACTGCCTATAGAAGGCCTAAAAATTTGAAGGAAATTTTAGCACCTTCTAAACTTAGGGATAGGATAGGCACTAGTGAGACTGATAATAGTGAGACTGCTTGTGTTAAGTGCACCAGTCGACGCTGTGACCTCTGTAGCAACTATTTTCAGTCTTCTAGAAAATTTAGCACTTTTGTTACTAAGAGATTTTATCTTATCAAGCAGAAATTAGATTGTAAGTCTAAGAATGTTATATATTTAGCTTCTTGTAATAAGTGTAAATTGCAGTATGTAGGTTCCATTAGGAATGAATTTAAAGTCCGGTATGCTTACGAACAAAAAAACTTGTGAAGTAGCCATTCATTTTAATAGTATGCCGCATAATTTGAGTGATTTTAGCTTTATAGTATTAGAGTTGTTAAATAATTTAGAAAATATTGAACGAGATCTTTTAAGTAGAGAAGCGTATTGGTGCCATCAGCTTTTTACATTTCACCCTCATGGCTTAAACAAACGCTTGGAATCGAATTCAAAGAATAGGGTTAATTATTCTGCTAAGGCGCGTTTATCCTTTTTTTTTTTCCAGAGTATAAAATAGTGTTTATTAGTTTGTTTAGTTTAATTTGTACCTAGCATTGTTTTATGTCAGTTGAAAGTTTTTTAGTTACGGCTCTGTGTTACTAGTTACCAGTTCATTCCCCCCTCCCGTAATTTTATATATTTATGTATGTATTTATNATTTTACTAGGGAAAGAGAACGATGAAGAATGTTAAGGCAAAGTATTTGGATTTATAGTAAAATAAAGAGTCATAAAAATCACATGTACCTGTGCCAGGATACCCAATGAAAAGGGTGTAGAGGTTGAGAGGCTGTTTGTGTGTCATAGTTTCCACTTGAGTTCCTTTGGTTGCCAGAACATAGGCTGTAGTCGTGAGAAGTGTGAGCACAAAATACCCTTCACAGCTACCGACAGCTTTGTTTTTGATGAAATTATAAATTTCATTTGATGAAATTATAAATTTCATCAGTTTTGAAAAGGACTTTGCATTCAAATTGTACTGAGTTCAGTCTTTGTTGAAGGCTGACCCATGTTTGGTCGTGTTGTTTGCTGAGTTTCGATATCGCATACATGCTGCAGTGTAGAAAGCTTGCGATAGAATGATYAGCAGAATGGACATCCCACGCGTAAATGACAAAATTAATTCAGTAGAAATATCTGATCCAATGAAAACAAAGGAATTTGATTGACATAATTACTAGGGAACAATGAAGGGATATAATATGTTTTTGAAGACGCTTTAGCATATTAAGTGAGTGCAGGAAGTAGAATGACTGAAAAGTAGTCAATGAAAAGGTAAATGACGTAACACTTGTTTAACCAATCACATGTCAGTGATTAGACATAAATAAAACAATTGATCTATTAGTTTGCATGTAAGTGAAATAAGATTGCATTAAATGAAAATGGCCTTATTTCATAACTTCAACTTCAATACAAATATATGACTCATTTTTATCTATTAAAAACAATTGCGGGAAAATATTTGTTTTGGAATTGTCTCACATCAGAGAAATTTTGATTCAAAAGATGGCAGAACAAAAGAATGGAGTAAATGGCGTCATCTACTCCAACATTTTTTGTCCAAATTATCAAGGATTTGTATCAATATCTTCTTGAAATCTGTTGCTTCATGATTATTAGACCCATATGGATAGATCTGTTTGATTTCCAAGTCTTTTCTAATGATTCGAAATTTTCGTCCAAGTAGCCCTTTAAAGGTGCCATACGAAAACAAAGACATGATAACAATAAGGGATATATAATGTTGTGAGAGTGTTTTAGTAGCATGCCAGTCGTGAAAATTAAAGAATGTAATAATTAGATAACACAAGCTCATATACGTCATATACGTTATTGTATTCTTTGAATTTTGAGGATTTCGGCAATAAGTGATTGAAKGAGTCCCRCGTTTCAAACCGAAGTTGTGAAAAACAGTGAGCGAGAGTTGATGAGAGAGAGTCTACGGCTGCACTTTTTGTGCTCTTACCTAGAATTCAACTTTATCTATCTTTTGAACTTATTTGACTGAGCTAATGTGTTGTAATTATTTGAAGAAAACAAGAATAATTGTAGGGATATAATGAATGACATTGGAATTCAAGTTGCTTTTGGTGCTAAAAGAAAAACCAGGGTATCCAAAAGTTGTCAAACGGCTGTAAATAATGCTAAGAAAGACTGTTCCACACAATGCRGTGTTTTTTCGAGTGGAAGCTATGAACGTAACACAGACAGCAAACGATGGAGGTATAAAGACCTCTTAGAACGCATTCAAGACAAGGAGGTTKTGATGAAATGGTTAATGGAAGAAGAGATGATAGCTAAAAGGCAAGATTGCAACTTGTGTGGTAGTGAAATGTGATGACATATCAGATGGTTATAAATGGGAGTGTAGACGACAAATGAACGGTAAAAGACACAAAGCAGAGAAGTCAATAAGAAAGGACAGTTGGTTTTCTCAAAGTACATGTAACATGACACTTCAAGAGATTTTACAATTTACTTATTGGTGGTCACAAGATTTACCCCAAGCACAAATCAAACACGTACTTGGCATAAGTAGGAACACTGCGGTTGATTGGGATATATTTTAATTGTCGTGAAACTTGTGANGATAAAAATCGATTAAATTTACCCCAATCGATAAATCGATAAAAATCAAAGCGAAGAGATCTGATTGATATCGATTGTATCTAAAAATCGATAAAAATCGAACTCACACAAAAAAAATAATATCGATTTTTATCGATTGACAGTGCTCAAGTTAAAAAAGGTTTTGGTAGCCGAAATTATAAAACGGTCATTCAACAGTTTTTTTTATACACACTATAAATAAGAATATATTGAGGACAGTCCAACCTCATTGATTTGATAGAATTTGAAAGTAATCAATTGAAACACCGCTGACTTACATATTCGAGAGTTATAGATACGCGTTTGCGGCAAACGCCAAACGTCAATACTGATCACGTAATCACTGTTTTTCTGTATTACATGTAACGCTCCGTTCTTTCGCGATTGTGTATAAAATAAGTTTTCAATTTTAGTCAAATCATAAAAGATATAAATTTGACGTAGCTGTGGAGGTTGCAGTAAACGCGAATCTAAAACTCTCTTTCTGATTTTAGAGCTATGCTGTACTACCATAGAAAATGTCGAAATAATTATCATTCATTGTTTGAAATAAAGATTCTATAATTGTACTTATCACTTGATCAAAATTAAAATTGATTTCCTTCACTCTCAATAACAAACGCACTAAAGATAAAAATCGATAAAATCTAAACAAAAATCGATAAAAATCGAACTCACACTAAAAAATAAAATCGATTTTTAACGATTGCAGATAGAAATCGATAAACATCAGCTGATTTTTTATCGATTTTTATCGATATCGATTTTTATCGATTGACTACTCCGGGCGTAGTATATCTTATATAGGCTGACTGCCGACCACGGGTACAGTACACAAGAAGTGGAATTCAGTGGACGGGTATTCTATAGTCTAGCCGAATTTTCAAAGTTTCCTCTTTGAACTTTAGACAAGAAATAATAGAATTTAAATTCGGAGAGACAATGCAAAAATGGCGCCAAATTGAATAGTAAGTTTAAGCTTAAGTTATATTTCTGGCCACATTTCTTGCCATTATACGTGGTTAAGGCAAACAAATCTACATTGAAGAAAGCCATCTTACCTTACATCATTATCAGATACTTCCATATCTAACAACAGTAAGTTGAAATTCTTCGATAATAAGGATTTCAAAGCTCTGCATCCTCCGTATACTCTCGATCRATAAAGTACCCTTCCCGACAACCTTTTCAAAAAAATCATTAGACCACAGGAAGCTCAACTCCGAGGAGACGGTTACGGGGTTCGATAATTTAAAACCCTGCCTCTGGAATGTTATTAGCTCAAGAACATTTTTCAGTCGGATATTTGCACTCAATATTTTATAATTCTAGTTTTCCACTTCTGCCAGTTATAAAAGTATTAGATTCTTAGATTCCCGCCAAAAAGACGATTTAATGATTCTATTATTAGAAAAATACCAGGATACATTTCGGGCTGTGTAATGACGATGAAATGTGAAAGGCTATGTGAAAGTGAAAGTTAGAACTATAAACATAAAAAATATTCTCTTTAAAATGTGGATTTGGGTCTTCTGTAATACATTGGCTTACCTTTTTTCCTAAACTAGATCTACCAAAATTGTGTTCTTGAATGCCTCAGCGAGAGAAGGGGTAATGCAAAATGTCATACAATCAAGATGTCAAACGGCAGCAGCAGCTTCATTCCTCATCCCCTCCAAGGAAAAAACAGTTCATTATAAACAAAGGTAATGCTAATGTTCTCTGGATTAAAAGCCAAAGATAAGACTTATATAATAAGGTGATCGTGAAATACAAAGAAATGCCTAGCTGACCACAACTGATGAGTTTTCAGATGTGTAAGAATGCTTTAAAGCTTATAAATTTATCAACTTTACTATCTTTAAACTAAAGCTGATGTTGCACCAAACAAACCAAAGGTACATTTTTGGAATTACAAGTCATCAGTATTTGTTCATTTTTCATGATGTTGCTTGTATTACCACCGTAAAGCGAACTTGTTTCACAACTTGTTGCCAACTTGTCTAGCCAGCTTAAGATGTCTTCAGACATCATCATTGACATGTTTGCAATTTTGATGTTGAGGGATGGTGCCTAAATGTATGTTACAATATATCAAAGACAAGTTGATATGTGGCTAGTAAAATGAGTTGCTTACATTGCTAGGCAATCTCGATGAAAAGCAAAAGTGTGTTGTCCAGTATATTTTAAATTTTTCTCCAATTATTTGATCCACAGAGCTATCTGATTCTGACTCCGATAATGAACAGTCAAGCTTTCACAATACTCCATCCTATGCTTCCTTTTACACCAAACCAAATGATGTTGCAGAATCTGAAAAAATTAGGCAGTACAGTTCATTTGCCCAAAAACAAATGGTATCTTCTAGTGACACAAATAGACAATTTGTTGATGGCATAACATTACTACCCCTACCAGAATTCTCTGCATTTTTGTTGTTGTTGTTGTTGTTGTTGTTGTTGTTGATATAATTCAGATATTTAATTCCTTTGAAGATTAGTGTAATAATTGGAACTACATGTAATTACAATTACAAAAGAATGTGAGCAAAGTATTCTGTTAAATGTGCTTAATGATGCCATTATGCAAATTGACTATTCATAGTTTGTCTGTTTAAATACCAATAAGCTTCATATGATATTAAGCATTAGAGTACTGTAAATGATGTATCTGTGAAATAGTGATACAGGAGGTATATGTGCTACTACATTGTTAATATAGTATTGATTACTGTGGAACTGACATAATTTAGGACTATTTTGTAAGRTGTCTATTTCATAGATATGTTTACAAGAATATCTTTTGAACACCACTCTCCCTCAAACGCACACACACATAATAATAATAATAATACCATGATCACCTCAGATTCTTTTGTCTTCCAAGGGATGCTTACAAGCGAACGTCCATCCCTCATGAAGAGCATGAGGGACGATTACTAGTAATCGTATGCATAATAACATTAGACTAATCGTCCCTCATGTTATTCAAAGGGAACCTTTGCTTCCTAGTAGAGACAACTGAATGCCCCTACAGCTGTCTTCTTTTTACTGCAATGAACGGTCTCATCGTCTCAATCACACTGAAATGTGGGATGATTTTTGGGCCAAATTGACTGAGTAGCTCTGGTTCCGAGTCACTACTTCGTACCACTGAGCATGTGCACTTGACGAATTTCAACCTTGATAATAGTTGATAAGCTTCTAAGCATTATACTTGCAAATATAAAAACAACTTTTTGGGGTTGAAGTTAAGGCTCGTTAACTTCAGCATTGAATAGAACTGAAAAGCAATTGTTTAAAAGTTTGTTGTAGGAAATCAGTGACAATGGTCGGTTTACCAATATCATTTTGTACTGTTGTTCTGCGAAAACCTTTTCAATGACACATAAAGTACTTGATACTCTTAGAACAGTGCGTATCCATTCTTTTCATGTCACATTCCAATTCATGCATGAATTGTTTGTTGCAATGTTTATATTAATTTACTTCTGATTAAAAACATTGGAGCATGCAAGAATTCAAATTCGCTCAAGTTCAAATTCAATTTTTTCCTCGGAAATCATGGTATTACAAAGTAATAGCATGGCTTCCTCGGGAGATTAGGGATTAAATGTCCCTCAGCCTCGGGCAGATAAGTAAAAGTCCCTCCGGCCTATGGCCATTGGGATTTCAACTTATCTGCTCTCAGCTTTGGGGACATTTAATCCCTAATCTCCCTCAGAGACATGCTATTACTTAAAATAAAATGCCAACAACTCTATAATAGCCTATGCCATTCTCTTTGTCTATGTATAGGAACTTATGGGGCACAAAGCAGGTAAAGGTCTTGGTAAATATGATCAAGGAAGAGCAGATATTCTTGATACTGAAATGCGCAGAGGAAGAAGAGGTCTTGGATTCCAAGTTGAAGGTTTTGATGATGTGAAGACACCTTGGGAGGAGGAGGAGGTATARATGTAGAATTCAGGTCTTTTCACAGTATTTGGTGTGTTACGTAGGGAAAAATCAGAGATTTTCATTGATGGTATCTCTGGAACTATATAACCTTTTACCTTAGTTTTATTACATATCATGGACCCCTATAATTACTACACATACATGGAAATTTTACGATCCATACATTTGTTAACAATAAAAACGGAGGAGAACAGAAAAAAGGACTTTTKGAAAGTTTTATTTTGGTTTAAAATCTCTCTGAATTTGCTGTATCCTAAGTAACATTTCTAGCTCTATAACATATTACTTTCATCTAGGATTTCTTTATTACAAGTCTCAACTGCTTATGTACCTTAGCTAACATGAGATAATGTTTTGTCAGAGGTACTACTTGTAGTGTTACGGAGGGGAAAGTGTTGTCCATGGAATTAAGGTCATCTCGCCCCATTGACATCTCTTCCCCACCACCTTGCCCCCACTATGGCATCTCGCCCCACCATCTGCCCCAATATTATATATGCGTTAGTCCACATTTCAGATGTTATTTGTGTGATTCTAGCTTGATGTATTTGATTTATTACATACATGTATCAGGAACACTTGCTTGTTTTAACATTCAAACGGCAGATATACTGTTGCTGTTGTTGTTCAATCGACCGTTTATACCATAATACGCAGACTGAATCGAGCTTTAGTGTGATCGATAATATTCGTAAACAAACCAGCTCTCCATAATCTCCATTCATTAGAAATTTATTAAAATGTTACGTTGTGTCCTACAAATCATGCCAAATTTATAAATGATCCTTGACAGACGCAATTTCCATTTCGAGCATTATAGTTAAGTTTAGTTCTGTTAGTTAGTAGAGAGATGGCTTTCCAACTTTTGGCAAACATAGACATAAACCCAAGACTCATGCTCGAGTTCGAAATTCCAAACAGCATTACGTCGAAAAATGCAACTAGTCTCTTTTGTTTTAGAAGTCAAGCCTTATCATACAAATGCGAATGTCCACATGATTCCTTCACTGATATATCGGAACACCTCTGAAACTGCTTCAAAATTGAATGTGAAAAGGCTATTAACTATTTTAAGTGAAATTTAATATGAAGTTGTCTGAGTCAAACTAAATTATCGTTATGCGTGACGCTCACGTCCAAGTCGCGTCGAAACTCAGACACAATTGACAGCCGAAAATTCTTATTATTATGTGAATTTCAACAGTTAAACAAAGTTTAACTTCAAGACTTCATAGGAGCGAAATGACATAGATAGTGATGTCAATAGGGGACAAGACGGTGGGGGCGAGATGGCATAGTGGAGGCGAGATGGYGGGGCGAGATGGCAATGGGGCGAGATGACCAGTAATGTGTCCATGACTAAATTCTTAACAAAAACAGACATTAACACAACACAAATGAGTTTTTGTTTGATTGAAATGTATCACTGAAATTATTTCTCAAAATGTTTTGCCCMAAAAAATCAAGTAGATGACATTTTCAAAAAGCTAACAAATTTGCCCTAGYCCACCCCCCTAAGCACAATGTTTTGTCTCATACACAATATCTAAGCAAAACCCTTGACAATTATTTATTTTTTACAGCCAAAATTTAACACTTTGACTTGAAGTATTCCTTGCCTAACCATGTATTGTAAGCTACTCCTTCTTAGTAGAGGTTGTTATTTTGCTAGAAAAATGAAAAAAATGTGATAATTATTAAAAAAATACTATTAACAATKGTCAATGCTCACATGACTTTGCTATAAAAAAATCAACTGAAGACAATTACTGTACCATTGGTATGTTTACTCCCAAGTTTTAAATAAGGCTGTTGTTGTCTAAAACTATGTGTTAAAAACTTTTTTTTCCCTCTCTGTAAAATACAATCATGTATTTTCGCCTCTGTAATACTTTTATTGTACTTTCTTTATACAAAAATATAATTTGCTGCAACCTTAAACACATCTCATATGTTGGCCCAGGATTTAAAGTGGCTAAGAAATATGACTTGTGATGCATGTGCAAACCTCTTTTATTTACCTAAAAATGTTACAGAGGGGAAAATACGATATTGACTGCAAAAGCACATCTTGCATTATAAAAACTTTTTCATCATCTTTTTTAAAATTACAAATGAATTACATGTACATTCCAAAGCAGTATCTCTCAAAATATTTTATTTGAATATTTGAAGCTCAAACAAGAAAAGYTCTAAATCAAGAGATCCCATTAATTGTAAAAGTTCAACAAAAACTGTGAACATATCTTAATCCTCCCACTTTCTTGTTTTTATAAGTCTGTTCTCCGAGGTCAAGATATTATGCAATTATTTCTTATAACACCATGCTTTAAATCTTGAAAATATTGTTCCATACCTACTTATATTGTATTAATATTTATGGTTCATGACATTTCCACTTTTATCTTAGGTACAAATAGTAGAGCAAAAAGAAGCAATCCCTTCATGTTCACATCAACTATTGTCAATACAGGATATGCAAGGATGGTGTTACGTTGATAAGGTACATGTATCATTCAGTCAATGTTTTATGGACATGAGCATACCAAAACAATTTAGCAATAAATTTGTATGGAGCTACCAAATTGCCAATATCAAATACTAAGAATAGAAATTACACAATGTCATTGTCTAAAAAAATATTTAAGTGTCTTTATTTGTTCTTGTCAAAAGAGATGTTCTCAACAGGATTTTTTTTAATTAAATAAACAACTACAGCTAAATTACATACAAAAACACATTAAATTACACTACACTACAGTGCTCAAGACAGGAATTTATGTACAATGCACAATGGTWGGTTAACCTTTGAATTACTAAGGGTTTATTCTCAAACTTGGTAAATTATTTTATCTGTATGGTAACTTGAATCATTTGTTAGTGGATGGTTGAATTATCCAAGGTTGTAAAATTCCATTTCATAATGTTTTCCATTTCTCTATTAAGTCAGCTGCTAGCTTATATATGTATTTTATCTCGCTCATTCCCTGATGTTGCTGTAGACAGCAAAAGTTACAAGTCATTTTAGTAAACTAGATCTACACTCAGCAGCTTTGGCTACTTTCATACCTTTCTCTATTATTCTAATATCCTGCTCAAGGATAACTTCAAACATTACATTAAAAATTGTAAAATTAGCCAGACAAGGTACAGTGTTGCTCTATCTGTTGCTACATGACCTTTTAAGTTAAATTTTTTAAAATCTTACAGAATTTTGCATATTTTGAACTAGATGYTCTTAGAGCATGAAGTCGGGCTAGTTCTTTTGAAAAATTGAGACAGGATATCATATTACTCGTGGCTGGATATTCCTAGAATTTTGACGTTGTTGCGTCAAGCCCTCAGAAAAGAATATTGTAGCGCATGAATAAACAATAAGAATTTTGAACAGTACATTATTGATTAATTAATAAAAAACTAGTGAAAGTAATGCATTCTTGCTTTCATTTATGTAATAGAAGTTAAAAAATTACTCTACTCCATAATTTACTTTCATATATAATCACAAAATATTATCATCATAATCTTATCRTGTTTAAAATCTTTCACACAGTCATTCGCCTATACGTACACCCAAAACTAGCTAGCCCAATTTTATGCTCTAAGAGTGTCTTTTTTTTTCAAAAAATTCCTATTATTTTTTTCCTTATCTTTTAGTCACTTGACATGCTGATTACAGTATCTGTAAAAATAATGACATTTTAAATTACTTTCTTGTCTTTCAGAAAAAGCTCTCCATTGAAGATGAAACAGAATTTTGTGATCCTGATGTGTTGTCTGATATATTATCAAGCAAAGTAAGCATGCAGTAAATTGTCTTTGTGTGCTGTGATTTAAACAGGTCATAACTTCATTTATGGAAAATAATACATATTAGGATTAGATCGATGTATTTCTAGGATTCATCTTGTTCTTACAGTAATCCAATAGCCAAAGTTAATGTCTTCAGGAAATTTTTAATCATATTGAACAATCATAAGTTGCTGAAGTTTTAGATTAGGATCTAATGTCATTTTTATCTTTTAAAAAACAGAGTGTTTTTGATGCTTTAACTGGGGTAGAATTCCTTAAAGCAAGAACCAGAGCAAATCCATATGAATTCATAAAAGGAGCCATATTTCAAAACAGGTAAAATAACCTAATGCTAGATATACTATACTCAACTAACCAAAATCATTTACTCACTTGAAAAAACAGAAAGCATTTAGAATACATGTATGTCTGGAATGTTAGGACTTTAAAAAAATTGAGAAAATAGAACTCTCATGTATTTAATCTCAACATTGCTGCAGTTTTCCACTTTCTGCACTCAGACGCTAAACCCTCATCCAGCAGTTTCAGTCACATCAAACAAAACTCTGAACATTTGCCGATGTATATTTTAGTACAATTATAATTGATTATCACGTTTGAGTATAATTGGTAACAAAGCTAACCATATGCATAAC